TTTATGAAAAATCCTTTCCTTAGGATTTTTCCTCTTGAGAAGCTGGGAGGCCTCAGGAACAAAATGTAAACATGGATTATCTGCTGCTGTGGAATGCAACAGGTGCATCTGTGATTGGCTCATGTTGGTTGTTTCTAGTTAATGGCCAATCACAGCCCAGCTGCCTCGGACAGAAAGTCCGAGCCACAAGCCTTTGTTATCATTCTTTTTCTATTCCTAGCCAGCCTTCTGATGGAATCCTTTCTTCTATTCTTTTAGTATAGTTTTAATGTAATATATATCATAAAATAATAAATCAAGCCTTCTGAAACATGGAGTCAGATCCATCATCCCTCCTCATCCTCAGACCCCTGTGAACACCACCACAGTGGGTCAATGCAACCCCCTGTGAAGATGCATTATCACCCCCCAAAGCTGCATTGGGGCTGGCAGTGCTCCTGCAGCCAGGTCAATGTAACCAACGCTTTGCAAAAATGCATGCATCACCCCAAAAATGCAAGGAGGAGGAGTGGATGGCACACCTCCTGTTGCTGGGTTCTGCAAAAATGCATGAGGTGTCCCCAGAATGTGCAGGGCTTGTGCAGGAACACTCCTGCAGCTGGGCCAATGCAACCCTTTGCAGAAATTCATCTATCACCCCCAAAAATGCAGGGGGACTGCTCCTGCAGCCAGGTCGATGCAACCCTTTGCAAAAATGCACACATCACTTGCAAAAATGCACACATCACTTGCAAAAATGCACACATCACTTGCAAAAATGTAGGGGTGGGAGGCAGGTTGAGGCAACCCTTGGCAAAGCTTTATCATTGCCCTGCAAAAACTGCCTGGGAGAGAGAGATGCCAGTGCTCTGATCTGTGCAATGCCCTGCAAATATACCTTAATTCCCCCAAAAATGGTGGGGGGGAAGGATTTTGTGTCCCACCCCCATCCCCATTGGATGCTCCTGTCCAGACAAAGCCCCCTCAGACAGAAAACTGCATCACGAGATGCACGTGCATTGCTCCTCATCGCTGGTTTTGAGCCAAAAAAGGCAGGGAAAAAGTGTAAAAACACGATTTTCTGAGGGAGGCCACTCTCCAAAACATTCTCCCTCCCCCAAAATACCTTCAGCATCCCCGTCCTGGCATCCCAGAGGTGCCATCCGCGAGCCCCCCATACGGATGCTGTCACCCACAGCGAACAAACCCCATATTGAAGAGGAGGGCAGAGTGGGAAAACCAGCTGGGCTGGGAGATGCAGGAGCAAGAAAGGCCTTAAACAAGCCCGAAAAGTCATGGGACCTATTGGTATGCAGCGTCCGTCCGTCCGTCCGTCCTCCCCGGCAGCGCCACAAACAGGCCCCGACTCGCCAGATTTGGGGGAACCCTCGCCCCACAGGGAAGGCCAAGGCATGGGATGGGGATGTGGCCTTCCACGCATCCCTGCCCCCTCCCCGTGCGCTGCTCTTTAACTGTTTCTTCCCCTTTTTTAACCCTGCTCCTAGATTTTTCTCCACTCTGGATAAAAAACCAAAATTGGGGAGTTCATTAATAAATCAGGAAATGTTTCATTTTCCTACAGCATCCTTGGCTGAGGGATGGAGATCTCCCAGCCCTTTTTAACGGATTTGTTGGAAAGCCCACCAAAATCCTCATTTTCATACTATTTTGTGGCACAAATCCCCTTTTTCTTTTTCTTTTTCTTTTTTTTCCCTGCACTATTTTTTGGGGTGTCCTCACTGCAGCCCTGGCTGTTTTTAAATCAGGGTCTAAATCAAAGCCAGCAAAAACCCAGCTGGTTTTGTTTTTCATCCATCCTCCACATCTGAAGGGAAATGGGGCCTCCCCAGAGCTGCTTTTGGGTGCAAACTTTGGTAAAACGGAACAAAATTGTTGAAGGTGATTTTCTGTGTTGCCAGACCTGGGATGGGGTGGTTTGGGGCTCATTGAATTCCAAAAAGTGAGAATTTAGAGAAAAAATGATGGAGAAAATGATGGAGAAAACAGAGGGTTGCAGTGGGATGGGCAAGTCTGGAAATGGAGTGAAAAATGACTTTTTAAGGGCAGCTGAAGAATGGGTAAGAGAAAATATTTGGAGATGCTAAAAAACTGGGAAAAATGGGGTTCAGGGAAGGAAAAAACCTGGGGAGAAGCTCAGGATGGGGGCAGCGCCAAATCCTCCCCGACATCAGGACCTGCTTGGCTCCAGAAAAGCGTTTTCCCCATTTTCATTCCATTTTACCCCCCTTTTTCCCAGCTCCCAAGCAGAGGGTACGCTCGACAGCGCAACAACCCTCCCTCAACCCCCCCCAC